AACCCTACGGACTAAGACTGGGGAGCCATTAGAGGGCGGAGCCAACCCAATACTGAACCCTACGGACTAAGACTGGGGAGCCATTAGAGGGCGGAGCCAACCCAATACTGAACCCTACGGACTAAGACTGGGGAGCCATTAGAGGGCGGAGCCAACCCAATACTGAACTCTATGGACTCTGTGACTCTCTATGAGCTCTGTGGCTCCCTGTGAGCTCTGTGGCCCTCTATGAGCTCTGTCGCTCTGTGGCTCCCTATGAGCTCTGTGGCTCCCTATGAGCTCTGTGACTCTCTATGAGCTCTGTGGCTCTTAGAGATAATACCCCGGAGAGGAGAGATAATACCCCGGAGAGGACAATGGAGAAGAGAAGAATCACGGAGGAGGAACTCAACAACTTCCTGCACAACACGGTACAATGTCTGTCTGTCACACGTATGTCTATCTGTCCCATGTATGTCCCACGTATGTCACACGTATGTCTGTCTGTCCCATGTGCTTCAATTGTGGTCCCTGTGACGGACTGACCCGTCACTGGGGCTGGGGGAGGAGCCTCCTTCCTACGGACCCAGAACTATGGAGACTCCTCCCCCTCAGTCCTCTCGGGGGTTACATGGAACCATTCTCCGAGGTCCATGTGTGGCGTGACAATACCGCGTGTTTCCCCCGACATGACACGTATGTGACCCCGTGTTCAGTATAGGCATCTGGCTGTCTGGGGGAGGGGCCCGTTGTTTGGGATGATGAAGCTCTTATCTAATGAAGGACTTCCAATGCGGCCCCCGGCTGTCTGGGGGAGGGGCCACACTGCTCTACAATAAAGTCACTTCTCGGTCTCCTCCTCCACATCGGTGTTGTCTGATGTTTGGGGGAGGGGTTCAGCGTTCTGGTTCCGTCCAATAATTGGGCCGGTTTGGGCTGAGGACACTGGGATTCGGGGAAGCTGATTTATGACGGAGGTCCCCAGTCGGGGGTACCAGGCGGTTCCGTCACAGTTGGTGGCAGCGGTGGGATTTGCTTCCTCCCTACAGAGCGGTCCAAACCACCACCGGGGTCCATTTCTCTGCCGGCTGAGGAGAACTGACTCAAGAAGCGAAGCAGCCATGACCCTGGCAGTGGAGTTCTCCAAATGGTTGCGGATCGTCTGTCCAAAGGGAGGGCCCGGCATTGGTGTGCTGGAGGAATGGTATCGGGCCCGGCATTGGTGTGCTGGAGGAATGGTATCGGGCCCGGCATTGGTATGCTGGAGGAATGGTATCGGAAGGGAGTTCCAGGGAGAAGGGGTAGCTGACCTCTCTCCCCAGCGGCAGAGGGAGTTCCAGGGAGAGGAGGTGAGTGTCCTGGAAATGTTCCCAGGAGAGAGTGTTCCCGGCACCCGGAGTTCCAGGGAGGGGAGGTGAGCGTCCTCCTTCCCCAGCGGCAGTGTGGTTACCTAGGAGATGATGTGCGCGGCATCACTATCCTGCAGGAGAGTCAAGCGGACCAGTTGGAAGAGCTTAACTGGGCCTCTACCACTCCCCCCCCCCACACACACTGCCCTGGCTGGGGAGGAAACATATAAAACATTTGGGAGATTTATTAAACAGATGCGGAAGCTGCAGTAACCCATACTAACAGATAGACCGGGGTAACCCATAGCAACAGATGGACCAGACTATAGTAATGCAGAAAAACAGATGGACTGGACTGCAGTAGCCATAGCAACTGAAGGTCTGGATTGCAGTAGCCATAGCAACTGAAGGTCTGGATTGCAGTAGCCCATAGCAACTGACGGTCTGGTCAGCAGTAGCCCATAGCAACTGACGGTCTGGTCAGCAGTAGCCCATAGCAACTGAAGGTCTGGACTGCAGTAGCCCATAGCAACGGACGATCTGGACTGTAGCAACCCATAGTAATGGACGCCTGGGCTTGTATAGGCATCAGTGTGCCTTGTGCATACATCACGTCTATGTACACCACTAGTAGGCAACTTTTGCACTCCCGCTGTGGTGAAACTACAAATCCCATCATGCATCTGCCACTGGGAGTCATACCTATATGGCTGTCGGAGTCTCGCAATGCCGCGTGGGACCTGTAGTTCCACCACAGTTGGAGTTCTGAGTTTGCCTACCCCCTGCTGTACACCGTGTGCGTATGCCTGGGTATCATTGTGTGAATGCCTCAATGGGAAGACTTCTGGATGCGGCATGCGGGGTCGGCGCTACCGAGCCCGGCCGGTAAAAAGTCACTGGCGGCAGTGCCTGTAGCTCAGTGCCAGCACAAAGAGCATGCGAAGCTCTCCTGGGCAGCGGTGAGCTGCGGGTCCCCATGTGCGCAGTGTGTGGCCACTGACATCTGCGGGTGGCGCATGTTCCTATGAGAGCGCAGAGCGGCCCTTCTGAGACCCTGCGCAGCCC